TATTGGACGAGAACGAATTGCTCTAAGGTACCCTCTCAATAGGGTTCTCTCACTTTTCTTATCGTGATAATGCTAGTAAACGTTGCATGTTTCACGCTTTTAAGATAACACCCCGTGGGACATCCTTAATCATACCTGCACCAAAAGTAGATAGATGATGGTAGATGGATCTGGGTGCGCTGAGTTTCCGAGTTTATTGCGACTGCTTATACCAATGCATTGAAAAGTGAGCAGCAGTTCTTCCGAATGTGATTGACATCAATACTGGCACATTACAGCCAGCAATGATATCAAACTTGCTGGTCATGTGTAGATTGATGGTCCCTTTAAACTCTGGGTCAATGATTTCACCTTCAATGGTATCAGTTTGACAAGCTGTTGGAGATTCATGCAAGACTTGTCGCATATAATCATTTTGCATAATGATAATTGCACACTCTGGTCGGAGATCAGTGTGGATGATAAATGATCCCCCACGACAAGAATCTTTCTGGAACTGCAAAAGAGCTGGCCAGCTTGACTGAATACCATCGGACCAGTTTGTTTCACAATCTTTTTCCGCAGATAGTTGACCAAATCAGTGTTGTTGAATGTTGGATCAAGTTTGGTGATTGGTTCCAGGTTAGTACCTACATGACCATACTTCAATTTGGAAGCTCCAATAGTTGGGTGCATTGTGACAATTTCAGTCAACTTCTTCATAGCTGCCGGAGTGGGTTTCTTAGTAACTGGTTTCAGATGTTGATGTGTTCCGAAATGCTGAACAACTACCGCACCTGATTTGGGGTAATGTGTGGCATGTACCCTGCATGGCTGGCCGGTATGCTTGCCTGAACCTCCAGTGCAGGGAATCCACTATAACAACTCTTTGGGGTGCTTGGGACAGGTATACTTTGGAAGCTTTGGCAACTCATCTGCTTTCTTGGTCTCGGGATTAATTGGCCTAGCAACAAAAGAGCAAGACTTGCACTTAGCCAAACCCATGCACTTTCGGATAACCCGACGTCCTCCATTCATGATAGTGTAGGCATTGATTGTCTGGAATGCCCAACCAAGCTGAAAATCATCAGTTCCAACTGAGTAGCAAACGTCTCCCTGAGGCCACTGCATATCAATGTTTGTTGGTGTACTAGTCAACCCTTTTGTAGGAGAAGCATTAGCTGATGATGACTGCTCTGAAGCATAAGCTTCCGGGCTACTAGAACGGGGGCGGGCTGTGGTTGGATGGGCACTTGCATAGAAAGGGGACTGCTTATGCATTGTCTTGTTGGGAGGATTGGGGGTGTTGTTGAATAAAGTACTTGGATGGGTATCATTCTGGCAGGCATCAAACCGGGGTTCAAAGCCATAAGAGTACCAAGAGACATGAATTCCAAAAGTTGCTGAAACAAAGCTTGGTAAAGACCAGCAAGGTTGTTGGGAATATCAATAGTTGGATTGATTGATGGATTAGGAGATTCATCAACCGCTTCAGTGCTTTGGCCAAAGACAGCAGCATCTCTGGGAGTTCCTTCAGGAGAAACAGATTCACTTGGATTTTTTTCATTGGCAAGAGGGGAGAAATAGTCACCAAAAATGGCAGCAAAATCATCACCATAAGAGTCAGCCTCATGGCTAAGATTTCCAATGTTCATCTTCATGGTTGCAACTGAAAAGAGAAAAGGTAGATACTTGAATTGGGGCAGAGAACTTCAGAATATATTCCAAAATCCTGGTATATTGTTGGATATCAAACAGTGATTCTGGGGATTAAGTTTGACTTTTTGTGAGCCCCTTTCGCCCCATGTCTTGGTGTGTTGACCCCTGGTGATGCCATGGACAAGGGAGCAGAGTTTGGTGGGTTTAGAATGGGTCCATGGGTGTCATCGTGGCTCCTAGAAGGAGAGCTCTAAATGTTGATGGATTTTGACTTCTTTAGCTGCTACTAAAGATAATGGAAAACTAGCAAGGCAGGAGAAGCCACCGGTGACTGTCATGTGTTCTTAGAGGGTTATACCAACAGTATCTGATCTTTCCTGGGGATGGAAGTGCAATACACGGCTCTTAGCCTTATTCGCGACTCGATCCTAGATAGGGTTTGAGTTCGACTCATGACTGAGTCTCTCGTGAATAGTCATTGAGACAGGGTTCTCATGACCGCTAGCTAGTCATACTAGGTTGATGATGAAACATCGCGCTAGATATTTAGCTGGCGTGGAGAGATTCCACGCTACTAGATAAATGCTAGACGAATCTTCCACGCGTTCCGTTTTTGGATCGTGGAACGAGCAGGATTACTACCACAACCTACTCTATCACACTTTACAGTCTCCCGCGGGAGTTCAGATCTACGATCCCTTGATTGTGATCTCTCTCGTTGATTAGTTTTCATAGCTTTCTAATCCTCTCATAACTTTCATTCTCTCAAACTCAAAACACTCGAAAGATCTTTACACTAGCTTTTAGCGTAGTGCAGAAGTGGCCATGCAAATAGCATCATCATCACCATGTTGGTCTGGTTTGCATGATGATGGCTGCTGATTTTTCAACAAAAAATGAAGAACGTGCCAAGCTATCCTGGGGCAGCCACGGGAAAAAGGTAACTGGGAGAGAACTGGCACGATCCAATAATTAACATTACTGGCACGGTCATATCCATAATACCGGGACGGTACTGAAGAATTTGAAGGATTTAACACCTTCAACTCAACTTCAACTCACTGGATGTGGATGCACTGAGAAAATGCACTTTTTTCCGCTGACTCCAGAACAACACATCAAAGAAGGCGTACAGGAGATGTCACCACCATCCCCTCCTCAAAGAAAGCACCTTCCCGTACCCAGGAAAAATTGCTCTCCAAAAGACTGGCTAGTCCCATTGAAAACATGATCGAGGCACGGAGACACCAAAGACAGCATAGAATGATACCGTTTGCCACCATCATGCCAGTGCTTTTGGGTCTCATTGGATATTTCCTCATCCCAAGTGGTGTGCAAGCATTCACTACAAGAAGAGAGCCACGTCTATCAATCAACATGGTCCTTCAATCAACAAAATTCACAAACCTCCAATCAAGCCCGCCACAAGTTGATCGCGGTTCTTGCACCGCCAAGCCAAACCACAGTATCCTGCTTATCGGCCACCAATAAGATTAAGGATGTCACTCACCCTTCCACCACAAACAGCACTGAAACTCAGAGCAACCAAAAATCATCAGAGAATGAACAAAGAGTGTCACATTTGGAAAATGACTCCAATCTCAGTTCACTGACAGTCAACAATCCTACTTGGGATCAGAATATTGTGGCAATGCTGGAATACAAAGAGATGCATGGCACAGTCAACATACCGACACAGTCAAAAGAATATCCAAACCTAGCATTTTGGATTCAATGTCTGTGGGCACAAAGGGGAAGGTTGACACAGGAACAGATCACTCAGATGGACGAGATTGGATTCTTGTGGACGGATGCCAAAATGGACAAGCATGAGAGGCGGTGGATGGCAATGTTTGAGGCACTGAAGGAATACAAGGAAACTCGTGGACATTGCAGAGTACCTTCCAAAGACGGCAAACTAGGTGGATGGTTCAAAAGACAACGCCGTCTGTACACTACTGGCAATCTCAGAAGAGACAGACAGGAAATGCTAGAATCCGTTGGTTTAGTCCAAAGGATAATCCAGAGCAGAAAGCACTGTGGGATTCTCAATTTTCTGCACTTTCTAAGTTCAAGGATGAACATGGCCATACACGTGTCCCATGTCAAGGATATCCGGAAAACAGAGAACTTGGCATTTTGGTCTTCAATCAGCGGAATCGAAACAAAGATGGCACCTTGCGAATTGACGGGAAAGAAAAACTTGACAAAATTGGATTCACATGGGACTTTGATGAGATTTATGAAAAATCTTGGCTGGAAAGCTATGAGGAGCTGAAGCACTGTTACGCCAAGAAGCTTGCTATGGGAAAGCAAATTTGTTGGTGGGCAAAAAACCAGAGGAAACTCTTTTCAAAGGGTTCACTTGAACCAGAGAGGAAAGCATTGCTGGATGAAATTGGCTTTGAATGGTGGGAATAACGGATGTCCAAGTCTTCTGGTACTTTAATAGTTTTGCTGGAGAATAGAAATCCAAGACTGCTAGTATCGGCTTGACATTACAGCAGTGCTAGAAGCTTCTCTACGGTAGCTAGTTAGTAGGAATTGCCGGAACGGCGCCCGGCACCTCAAAATTGCTCGACAGCACAATAGAAACCTATTTATGGCGGTGAAACTTGACAATAGCAATTGGCATCCAAAGTAGGATTGTCCTTTGGATCCAAGGCGTCCAGGGATGGCATGTTGCCTACTAGAGCACGAATGGTAATAGTTTCGACCCCTCGAAGCTCGAGTTGAGGGAGGGTATCACGGATTATCTCGTCGAGAAAAGCACGCCGTAACGGACAAGTCGTGGGCCGAATGGCAAGCAACTCGCTGGCTTCATTGTTTTGTCATTACCTGGTACTGTACTGCTTCGCCGTTTGCAAGAAAACCCGAGATCGACTTGGGTCATGTCTTCGACGAATGGTATCATACATCGTACCTGACTAGGGGAAAGCTCTCAGCCATTCTATTGAGTACCAACCAATTGAAGCAATGCAGCTTGTACGACAATGGGCTCGTTTGAAAATGCGTCGAACTGTTGCATTTCGCAGGAGGTTTCATGGCACCTGCGCGACTCCAAGACCAGCCATGCTATTGAAGCCATTTAGCCATTCTGATCAACGTGAAGCCAACGATTTTCCCATCGATCGGCAGATTTATTCTGCATGGCATCTGCTCACCTTCAGGTCCTTGTCCACATCAGGGAACCAGGATAAGAACCACAAGAAGTGGATGGAGAGGTTCCAAGAACTGCAGGAATACAAGGCAATTCATGGAAACTGTAGAGTACCCACCTTGTTTGGCTGTCTTGGTACCTGGGTAAAAACACAGCGCGGGTTGCACACTACTGGAAATCTCATGAAAGATAAACAAGAAATGCTAGAATCTATTGGATTTGAGTGGAGGCTAAGGAAGTTTGTTGAGTTGAAGACTCAACACAATGAAGACATGTGGAATTCACAATATGATGCGCTTGTGAAGTACAAGGAAATGCATGGTGACACTCTTGTGCCTCGATATTATCCAGGAAACAAAGAACTTGGTATTTGGGTGAATAACCAAAGGAGGAATATGAAAAATGGCACCTTTCGGGCACGACCTGACCGCAAAGCAAAGCTTGAGGATCTTGGTTTTGTATGGGACCCACAAGAACACTTTTGGGATGCCCAATACAATGCACTTGTCAAGTACAAGGAAGAGCATGGTGACACACTTGTGCCAAAAGATTATCCAGAAAACAAAGAACTTGGGTTGTGGGTAACCACCCAAAGGGCAAGTCTGAAAAATGGCACCTTACGGGCACGACCTGACCGCAAAGCAAAGCTTGAGGAGCTTGGTTTTATCTGGGACCCTCACGAACACTTTTGGGAAGCTCAATATGATGCACTTGTCAAGTGCAAGGAAAAGCATGGTGACACTCGTGTGCCTCGAGATGATCCAGAAAACAAGGAACTTGGTTTTTGGGTGAATGAGCAAAGGCGACAGAAGAAAAATGGCACCTTACAAGCTCGCCGCAAAGCAAAGTTGCACGATCTTGGTTTTGTATGGGACTTTGATGACATCAACGAAGAAGCTTGGCTGGAGAGCTTTGAGCAGCTCAAGTGGTGCTATGCCAACCCTGGTGTCGTTTTTGATTCTGCTCTTCGAGCATGGACAATACTTCAATGCAGACTGCATGCAAAGGGTTCACTTGCACCTCATAGGAAAGCACTGCTGGATGAAATTGGTTTTGAATGGTAGAATGCAAAGAACTCAGGGAGCAAACACAACTGTCTTCGAAATGAAGTTGTGGTTGCAGTACCGGTATGTGTGCGGCTGCGCTAGCATTGTCAGTTGCGTTGCGCTTGCTGCCTGTTCCCGTTCGATTTCTGCCTGCTAGCGGTAGCATACCACTCCCATAGTCGCACGTACTAGTACGTCCAGATCATGTTTGTCTTCGCTGGCAATCAAGACTTTAAAAAGTATTAATAGAAAAATGGTTATGTGTATCAAAAACGAGTATGAAAGAGAGGATAGCTATATGCAAGTAAAAAGGTTGTAGATAGAGCACGCAGGCAGACAGTCGAGGGTACGGTACAGTACAGTGTACTCCGCGCCGCTTCCTCACACCGTCGACGACTGTCGTCTCCGTTGCAGATATCGTTTGGTCTTGCGTCCCGCCGACTGCGCCACGTCTTCCAGTGCTTGCATGGGCAGAAGGAACCGTGTGAGTTCTCGCTTCATCTTGTCGCTGTTGGCTCTCTTTTGCGCCTTTTTCAGGTCGTCCTCGGAGTGTCCAAAGGCATTCTGTAGGATTGCCATGCGATGATAGTAACTCAATCCCATTTGCTTCAACTGTCTTCGTTCCCCTCGGTTTTCTTCGTAGTCGTCGACACTGACCGGACACAACTCTTCAAACTTCCAGTCGAGACAAATGGGTGGCCCGTAACTGACGGACGGGTTATCTCCAATGGTCTGATCGTACGATCGAACGCATACGTGGAGAAAGCTCACACTGCTACCGGAGCCGCGCTTGGGAGCTTGCTCTTGATCTTCATTGCTTAGGTAAGTGGGCAACGTCTGCGCCCGTTGGAGCTTGGCCATGTCGGGCTTCGGCAGTTGCTTCCAGGATCCTCGCTTCTCTTTGACCGGGATAACTTCTTGTAGACTGGCCAATTTGATGGAGGAGCGCATCTTGCGGAACTTGGTGGGAGTGATAACTGGTTCTTCCTCTTCCTCTTCCAACAACAGTGCGAGTCCGTCGTCTTGTTCTTCACTGTGACTTCCAAAGCTCGTGACACTGTCGGAAGCACTGTCCTCGGGGGCGGTCGTTTCCGTCCGGCACGTTAGATTATCGACGTCCACTACCGACGCAAACTTGCCTCCGCCGGCGATGTAGTCGTCTACATCAATCCCGCTGGAGTCACTTTCATCGTCACTACTCGACATTTCGAGCTTGGAAATGACACCGGCCCAATCATCGGTATCGGTATCAGCGGTGGATGTTACCACCAAGGGCTTGCTATTCGAAGGGGTAGTGGCGGCGATCATTGCTGAATGGATAAGATTGGGTAAAATAATGAGGGTAGCTTTTGTGTGTAGCTTTTGTGTGATGTCGTACTCTCTGCCTCGTGTTTGTGTGGGAAGGAGAGGATGAGAAGATCACAGAGAGGATACCGTGGGGATGTGCTTGTACTGTGTTCGACCTAGCTAGTCTAACAAGCAAAATATGAAGAGTCAATGTGCCGGATAAAACCTCTATCTTCGAGAAGTCGCAGTCGACAAAGGTGAGAAGGAAACGACGCCAAAGACCAAGGAGCTGTGCTAATAAAGTGCCAACAATCGGAATAACAATCGGAAGATGGAAGATGTTACCCATTGTGGGCCTCTGCTGCTGCTGGGCTGAGAAGAGGCCGATCTTGTTCCCAAATTCGAACGACGTGGTGGTGTTCGTTTTGGTAGCGAGCAAAAGCAAAAATTGAGAACAATCGTCATCTCAGATCTTTTTGGAATGCGATCTCTAAATGCCTCACAAAAACTACAGGAACTTTGGAGCATCAGCAAGTAAGAGGTATCCATATGATAGCTGTATCCAAAGCACACCACTGGGGCTCTCAAAAGCTGAAATCTTGGCTGATAATATTATCTATTAAGAGCTAGATCCGACTGCTTGTCAAGCCGGAAACATCTGACTACGGGTCCATTGCTTGGCTGCAAATGACCGCCAAGAGGCAGCAGTGCAAGTACATGTACTGTACGTTTGTTCTCATTTTCCCTTGGCCCTTGGCAACTCCAACAAAAGATTGTCTGATTCCTAGATCAATTGATCCAGCGGCAGTTTCAGTCTGATGAGACGAGCGACGAAAATAACTATCCTTGGATAGCTGGCTGGCCTACGGTGGGTTCTTTGCTGGTTCTTAAACCCAGCATGTACGGTACCTAACGCAGCTAGCTAGCAAGCTGTTGGCTGGGTATCTTCTTGTGTTCTTACTTGGAAACTGCAGCAACAAGGGTGTCATTAGCAGTACTCTGATCCTCAGGGTTGGAAAGAGAAGTTGCAAACTATACTGCATACATGTACATGCATGTAGTATAATAAAAGATAGCTGGCAGCGGTGGGTTTGGGGAGACTTTTACTCCTGGCTTGGGGTACCGGTATCTTTTGACGATCTGACAATTGATGCCCAATTCGTATCTGACATAAAAGCCTGGTTGAAGTGCAAATGCCGATGTACTTTCGGCAGAAGTTTGAAAGGTTCATACAAATTTCGGAGGAAGTTACAGTCAACGCTCGCTTATATCTATAATCTTGTATTTATTCGCTCTATAATATTTAAGAATACTCCAGTTCCCACATTTTTAACTCTAACCCTATTTTAGTACTAGAGCACGTACAATTCTACGGGAATAGTTAGGGTTAAGGATAAAATCAATATTTATTCTCGCTGTTATATTTACTGAATTCCTGAATCCCCCCCAGTATATATATCTGAATGTTGACTGTAAGTGCCTCTTTCGAAACATCGGTACTATGACGGCTCTTGGTGACACAAACGCCAACGTCGCCTTCTCTACAAAGGGTGAGACATTGTATCTAACTAACCACGAAAGCCACTAAATCATGGAGGCACCATAGCAACCAAAAAGCTGGTTTTGGCGAGGAGTCTGCGAAAAAGCAAATGGATGCGTGGCTTCCTGTGACGGGTGGTACAGCAGGTGGTACAGCTAGCAAGGGCACTGTGGCGCAGACGAGCTCACAGACGGCACAGTCTCGTACGTAGAGGATGGAACCGCAACGTTTTTTAGCGTAGCGTTTTTAGCGTTTTAGCGTAGCGTTTTATACGCTACGCTAGCCCCAAGCGTTTGCGTTTTTTAGCGTGTTTGTGTAGTAGTGTATAAAAAACAGCGTTTTTAGCGTTTTATAGCGTTTTATAGCGTTTTATCTCTGTTTTTAACGTTTTTCAATGAAGATGCCACTTACAACCTTGTATAACTTACTTCACCAACTCTTTATACATATATGAACTTTCTGGATGGTGGTACTGGTGCCGGTGCGTGTTGGTATGGTTCTATAGCACTGATTGCACTCTATTGTAGTGCACCAATACTGTAAAAAACGCTAACAGAAATGCTAACAAAAACGCTGATAAAACGCTAACAAAAACGCTGAGCTCATAGTAATAAAAAACGCTAAAAAACGCATAATAACAAACGCTAACGGGACCTGTTAGCGTTTAAACGCTACGCTTGACGCTAGCGTTTGCGGTTCCATCCTCTACTCGTACGAGCTCTCGTACGTTAGTGCTGCTGTGCTGCTGAGAATTTTGGCCAGAATTTGCTCCAGCGCATCCAGAGAATAAGCCAGAGTCATTTAGTGCGGTCAGATTGATAAAATATATGACCTTTTGTGTACCGTATTCTGTTTTAGTATAGAAAATTCCAACTGATCGGTGGTACTTCCTGAGACTGCGTCTTGTAAGAACCCCTAGCCCTTCTGCTATTAATAGTACAGGCAATTCTAAAGTGATGGCTTCTTTTTCTAGGGAAACAAAAAGGATTAACCAATGACCCACCAAAGAATGCAAAGAATGTCACGCTTGTACCCTTTTCAACCTCACAATTTCTCATCCAAGCTGTTGGCACGTTGGCACATTGGCACACTTTCATATCTCTTTGATGAAGAAGTGAAACACCGGGGTTCTCGAAGTGGGCATCAGCAATCAGCAATGTGGAGTTCTAACGCGGGATAGCTGCTGCCGACCCTCCATCCACCGATTGGATATTGCGGGGTAGGGGCGGGCTTAGGGTTAGCGGGGTTGAGAAGCTGGTTGAGAGAAAACCGTTGTGGGATCGTGGAGTTCGTATTATTTTATTAAATTTTGCTGTTTCGAGCAGAAGTAACTTTCCAGATGTACCAGCTACATTTATGTCATGCCGTCTTGTATCTTGCTGCTTGTGGCTACCATAGATTTGCGGACTATAGCTATTGCCAGTATTCTGTACTAATACTTGCTTGCTTTGGTTTCTTTGGTTTCTTTGGTTAGAAAAGACTTCTATAAAGAGTGCTTGGCTGCAAGTGCACTTGCTTGTTTCGGAGTCACCATGCATGCGAGTGTCACCATGCCTGCAAGGCAACCATCATGATGTTGCTTGCTTGGCAGTAACTGGAAGACCTCACCGGTTGGCTGATGGATTGAAATATTTAATATTACAGTATTTCCTTCACCCGCCCTGGCTGGTGTTTGTTTGGCTGCACTTCTACCGTACAGCCAGACCAAGCAAGCGAAGGAGGGAGCTCATGAAACTGGAGGACATCGAGTGTGACCCACTGATTGCTTCTTTTCTCATCGTCCGATACCTCCTCCTCCAGTAAGCAGCCAATCAAACAGACATCTTCCCGAGAACATACACGTACACCTCCTCGGTCGGTGTCACCGTCTCGATGATGCTAGATTTCTTGTGCTTTATTAAAAGGGCAGAGTGCCGTGTCCTTTTCTTCAACAGAATACGGAGCAAAAAGTCTCCACTGCTGCAGAAGCTTGCACATTTGGCACCACCTACATACTGCAACTCTGGCAGTTGTCAACACAACTGTCTGTGACGCTGAGGCCCTTTGAACAAGCAACTCGACCTTTTAAACATGTAGCAACAAGAGAGGTCGTATTGGCTTCCTTTACCAGCATCTCACTCGAAATTACTTTTGTAGCTAGCTAGAAGTATGACGTCGTGGTGTTGTCGTCAAGGGCCAAGTGCTTCCTCTTCTCCATCGCTCGCCTCGAAGAGGGCCAGTGGCAATCTTGGTCTTGATCCGAGAGCCTGAACGCCAGCCAGTCACATTTATAAAGGTCGCTGTATGTATTCGAAGTATTAATAATCGAATTGAATTAATTAGTATGGTACCGGTACGACCTGAGAATTCGACTATTCGACATTTCGCGCGAGCTGCGCGTGCGTTCAAAGCTTGACAGAGGGCACGCCACCATTGCCATCATGGCCCACACAAAAGAAAAGCGGCAGCTACCACTCGACCATCCAACCAAAAGGACGAAACTCAGACAGTAGTGCCAAGATCATAGTAGAGATAAACAATGAGGTATAGTTGTTGTCATTGTTGGCAATGATAGATCCTCTGTTGATGCACTGCTGTTGCTCATGACAGTCTTCCTTTATCTCTACATGTAGACCCCGAAGAGGCCGCGTGGACGGCATCATGATCTTCAACGGCATGGTAGCAGTAGCCGTGGGCGCCATATCGGGACGATATATTTTTAAACAACCGTTAGAAGATTACTGGAAACAAAAGGCAGCCGAACAAGCAGCTTCATCATCTGCCAGCAGTAGTCAAACGCAACAAAAATCATCGCCTCCATCCAAAACCTAACTAAATAAATCATAGAAAGCGATGTAGAAGTAAATTATTGTTTCTAGTATTTTCCTTTTATATAATCTAGACTATGAGAAACGGTACAGTTCCATGCATTTTTAGATAGCTAGCAACTCTACGTGTGTCTGATTATTGCTTTTGCTGTTGTTGTTGACACGCTTGCAGAGTATTCCGTAGCAACATGGCAATGGTCATGGGTCCCACTCCACCGGGAACAGGAGTAATTCGGGAACAGACCTTTCTGGCTTCGGCATAGTCGACATCTCCCACGAGTTTGTACGCTTTACCTCCTGGTTTTTTCGGTGGGATATCTACAGCATTGATCCCCACATCCACCACCACGGCTCCCTTTTTGAGCCATTCTTTTTGGACCATGTGGGCACGACCGACGGCTGCAATGACAATATCGCCTTGTCGTACGACTGCATCGATATGTTGAGTTTTGGAATGCACCATGGTAACAGTGGCATCGGCTTGCAAGAGCAATCGACTGAGCGGTAATCCGACCAAATGAGAGCGTCCCAACACAACCGCATGTTTTCCCGCCACGTCAATGCCACTGCGTTGCAACAACTCCATACAACCGAGGGGTGTACAGGGAATGGGAAAGAAATCGTCTTGTTGTTGATTCGTCCATAATTTGGCGACATTGACGGGATGCAATCCATCGACGTCCTTGTCGGGATGGACGGCCTGTAAAATGGCATCTTGATCCCACTCCGCTGGAAGTGGCAATTGAATCAAAATGCCGTGAACGGTAGGATCTTGGTTCAATTCCAGAACTTTCTCGAGGACTTCTTGTTCATGAGAAATGTCTTCTGGATAGCTGAATTGAAAACTGGCAATTCCCACTTGGTCGCACGCTTTGGTTTTCATATTGACGTAGGTTTGAGAATCGCGACGGGATCCCACCAGCATGACGGCCAATCCAGGTGGGTGATGATTATGATTATGATTGTTGTCGTTGTTTTGCATCATCATGTCTTCTACTTGTTCCTTTATCTCTTGACGAATGGTGGCGGCAATTTTCTTGCCGTTAATGTCTTGCGCATAATATTCTTCTTCAATAGTAGTTGATGGTCCATCATTGGTTGTGCTGCTGACACTGTCATTGGCATTAATATTATTATTATCACTATCTGTGGCTACCATGTGCCGACATAATGATGGCAGTGTTGGTTGGAAGTGGTGGCATGGTCGTCGATGGACAATGCTAACAGGACTGGTAAATGCCGTTGCTCCATTTGGAATCGAGAATAGCAGAACCAGACTTCCCAAGAATAATCTAGAGCAGCCTGAGCAGACGTTTGATAGAGCTGATATTGTCATGGTCTAACCATTCGATTTGTTAGTTAGTTCAACACACACAATCATTGAAGGGAACAACACCCATGGAGACCATGGAGACTGAATGGGATCTGACAAGAAAGGCCATCATGCGAGACTTGCAGCCAAAAAAGACTGACGTCAGTGATGATTGTCGAATCCCGCGCCCTCATCTTTTTCTCACACACTTCCAAGCATCCGATGAGTTCACGACGACCTTGGAGCAAGTCTCTGATCTCCACTGTTTCATACAACACAATCCCAAATAGTAAACTATTTTCGAAGGTTGCAATTAAAATGATGAAACCACTACGATCACTTGCCACTTTCCTTGCGCTGCTCTCTGTAGACGCGCTGGTATCTCAGCCAGCCTCCACAATAACAACAACAACTAGAGTATCACTACAAGACTTGCTGTCCACCTGTATCGTGGCGTGTCAATGCGGTTGTGACGAAATTCGTGCCGTTCAACAGGCACGACAAGCCAACGACGGACAATTGGAACAACAAGTGCAATTCAAGGATGTCACGGACCCCAAGTCGGCACTCACCGAAGCCGATCAACGAGCGCAACAGGCCATTGTCTCTGTCTTACAACAACAACAACCATGGGGACCCGCATTGACCATTGTAGGAGAAGAAGATGAAGAAAATGATACTAGTAAAACAAGCAATGAAGAAATGCTATCTCCGAAACAACAAAGACCACAACCATCCATAGATCTTTCTGCTGGAGAACATTTTAGTCAGGACAAGGACATGCAAGTCGACTTGGCCGATGTCACTGTCTTTGTCGATCCCGTCGATGGGACTCGAGAATTCGTCGAGGGACGACTCCACAACTGCCAGGCATTGGTGGGAATTGCACTAAAGGGACAAGCCATTGCGGGGGTTATTGGGATTCCATTTCCGACCAATGACTTGTCATCACCAGCTACCATTGTCTATGGACAAGTCGGAGCAGGTTATGGTGTCATTGGAGCAGCAGCAGAACTGCCAGAATCCAAAGCAAACAGCAATCATCCACAAAAACGTCCCATCATGGCGTCGGGCGATTCCACCATTGCCGTCATGACAGCTGCAAAGAACATTATCGAAACACAACTGGGTGGCACCAATGTGCTCTACGGAGGAGCCGGCAACAAAATTCTCGCCACGGCATTGGGCCATGTCGATTGCGTCGTGCAACACAAATTTGGCGGGCCCTGGGATACATGTGCGCCACAAGCCATCTGCCACAGTATGGGGGGAACCATGACCGACATGGCTGGGGATCCCATTCGTATACACGAAGCAGATGCTTCACCAAAGTGGAATCGAATGGGATTTGTCGCCACCTATGCAAATTCGTGTGTTGGGCACGAAGAACTGATACAATCCTTGCAACAAGCCGATGAGGTACAATCCTATCTGGCAGAAGGAAGAGCCATGATTGCAAACAACAAGTAATAGCTTATCATGCTAGCTAGCAAGTATCGGTACGAGTAGCTAGCGTAGAAGCTCAGGACAGTCAACTACAGTCCTTTTTTTAAGATCCCCTTCCTCATCCAATTCAGTACACACCATCCCCACATAGTACTTCACCTGGGTATCTTCGATAAATCTTCAAAGCTGAGATTGGCAGTATGACAGAACTGACATTCCTACGGTTGTTTGACTGGAATCTTCACGGAACTATACCAAGCCAATACGCAACTCAGTCTCAGGAACTGTGCCGTCCGCCTTGTTGGATTTGACCAGTTAGTGTGATGAATGTTCTGCTATGCCACACACTTTTCTTAACTCACGCGTACAGTATCACTATTCCTGTCTTTGCCTTCACGCACGATTGAAATCTGCGTGAAACTAGCCGTTAGTTTCACGCAGCATCCTTTAAATAACAGTTCTCCTCTGACCATGAAGCTCTTTTTCCGCACGCCTGCTTTTGTTGCATGGAAGCCAGACAACAGACAACAGACAACAGAGCAAATCCATGGGGACGGCAAGCATCGTGGAACCGGCTACATGTACCACCATCCAGGAAAGCAATGGAGTAATTATTCACTAAAAGGAGCTAGGAAGGACCACAAGTAAAGGGAATTCGAACGAGCAGATCCTCTGTACTGAAAGAGATTCGATGCTGTAATCATGCCTTACGTCGAAGAGCTTTCTCCTGAAAACCTGGCGGTTGTCCAGGAATTCTTCGATGCCATGAAGGGTGAGGTTTGTCCGTCGGTGCAGCAAGTAAGCAACTGGCTAGAGCGGTTTCCAGGTCTGGCAAGCGAAATAGATCGCGAGACATTGCACTACTACGACGACGAGGACGACGAACCTGATTTCTATAGAAGTCCTGTTCCTCTCCATGCTATCATCAAGAAGTTTGCCACCAGCGTCCCCCTGGCGATAATCAAGAAGCTGGTTGAGGCCTGGCCTGAAGCAGTTGCCCATAAGGATGAATACGCAGATACACCTCTTCACTTGGCTTGCTGGCACAACGCACCGTTGGCCATTGTTCAGTATCTTGCCGAACTGAATCCAAAGGCAATCTCCAAAGCAAGGGGACTCTACACTCCCGTTCATTGTTTACTCAAGCGACGCGGAAGGTTGGACGTGCTGGAATATCTTTGCAAAACATGGACTGATGAGGCATTTTGCTCCCTCTACAGAAACCGTTCCAAAGAGAATATCTTGCGGACAGTTTTGGAGTGGGATATCTCCATATTTGAGGGCGACAGTACGCCGCCAGTTCAATACCTCCAGACTTTAGTGCGGTGTAACCCCGACCTCTTGACTGTTTTAGATATGGACGGTAGCACCGGTGATCCTTCTTCGCACCTACAGAAGGTTGTGTGGTTTTTGCCGAAAGAGGACAACGACGGAAAGTGGATCCGAATCCTTCGTTGGCTACTAACCGTGGAACCGGATGCAATCCGTCGACCCGCCCATAATCCTGGAATGACTCACGAAGATGGGCAGCCTGTTGACGGAGATCTACCCCTTTATACTTTCATGCGCCGGATATCTACGAGAGGCTTGTCAGACTTTTATTTGGAAGTGTTACAAATCTTGGTTGATGCCTGGCCCGAGGCGAGGACGAGGAAGTCTCCCTCTGGCTATCTCCCTTTGGATTGCGCTACCAAGATTCCACGGGAGACTATTCTCCCAGTTCTGGTGGAGAATCCACAGGAGGCCATGCAATACTACTTCAAACACGGTGGGCGCAAAATTGAAACAGTGGACTGGCTTTTACATCGGAATCTAGGAGCCCTTGCAGAATCCGATGGGGATGGAAACCTTCCTCTCCATTGCGCCGTCCTATCCGCCGGTACACCACGAATCGTCTTGAACTTGATGCAGGCATTTCCTCTCGCCGTGTGTATGCGCAATCGACGCGGCAAGTTGCCTCTCCACATTGCTGCACAGCACTCCAGGGATCCTCAGGTGGTAGAATTACTTGCGCGTGTCGCCCCTCTACTCATCGGAGAGAAGGACGGGGAAGGGTGGCTCCCATTTCAGTTGGCGGCTCAAAATTGTTCTAGAGCCACCTCAGTCGGGTTTCGACGCGTTGCTTTTTTGTGTCCTGGCCTGGAGATGACGTACCACTTGCTGAGAAAGTCACCGGACACCCTACAAAGTCAAGGGGACGATGATGAGTGAGGGATGTGGTTCTCGGTGTGGAAATATGCTAGGAGGGAACTTTTCGGTTTAAGTAGTGCTTGCTGCTCAGTACCGTATGGTACTCAGTACGGTACGGTATGCATAGTCGCCTTGGCGAAAATGCCGCGGGCAGCAAGAGGTGAGGTACATGTATCAGGGTCTTTTCGGGACGCTCATGGGATGGCTCCCCTGATAGCGGACTGTACGAGTTGGAACCAAAAACCTTTAATAATCTAATCTTATCTCTAATAACGAGACTGTGATTCAACTCCCGTGGCAACACGGTCGTCCCGAGCGCCGGAGACAGCCAGGGAGCCCTTGCCGGTACTATTCGGTGCGCACCCAGTATCGTTGCGTGGTCGATGTTTGTTGGTCCCACAGGCTTTGTAGCGGAAGACTCATCCGTGTGCCGAGCGACACCAAGAGTGCTCCAGCTAGCTAGTGCCATGGTAGTCGTACTGTACCAGTAAAGTTCCTTGTTCTGCCAAACCCAACGTTAAAACGGATGTTTTTCGTGTTCTGCTTCTAATTGGTGCGGCCAAAACCTCCACTTTACTCTAGCTATCATAGTACGACTGTATTGCTTTCACTCGAGCTGATGCTTTTGTGACACTTCCGAGAAATGTGCTCAACCTGATGACTTTATGTCCGTCTAATTGTTACAGCACTTGTTGCCTTATAGTGATCGACCGTTGGTGCAGCTTGAATCGTGGGCCTTTCATGTGTGGTGTTTGAGAAGTATTAGTGGCGCACCTAGCTAGCTAAGGGTGATGATGCCATGAGAGCACGTACCTGACCATGCCACTTCTTCACACATATGATTTTTCGAGCTTGAATTCATTCTAGTTTGATTCGGAGCACCATGATAGCAAGTCCAGTACATGCATCATCACTCATTCTGTTGGCTTGCCACTTGCTGGTGTTGGTGGTAAGCCCAGTCTCTGCGGCCAGGTATGGGAACAGCACAGCGTACTACTCCCGCCATGACAACAACACAGCCTACTGGAACGTCACTAGGAACAAGCACAGCGGGAAGCACTACTTGAATGTCACTCGCAACAAGTACATCCGACGAGCTACCGAGGATTCCGAGGGCGGCGACGTTGGTGAGAGTTGCAACGAAAACAGCAAACCGTGCGCGGAAGGCCTTACCTGCAGTCGAACTCCCTTTATGGGAATTTTCAATCCTCGTCACATTTGTCTTCCCTTGGAATGCATCGGAGCTGCCGTGAAGACCTTTAATGATGTCGTCAATATCACCGACTACGAAGAAATGATCTTTGATGTCGCCGGGGTAACAAAAGAAGAGTTCTTTCTAGGCAAACAAGGAAAAGATGCGATTGGCACAGGGCCATTGGCCGCGTATCATGTCGCCCAGGCCATGCCAGAGAATCCAGCTTTTCTCAAGGTCATACAAGCACTTCAGAACAATCCCGTTCCAACTTACCAATGGAAGGCCTATCAGGGTGCGCTTTCGGATTGTGATCCTGAAGGCAAGCTTAGCAACGATCCGGACCCCACCTGCAACGGTTGTGGTCCGTCGGAAAGAGGAACTCTTGGCTCTATTGGGATTCGCTTTGACATTGGAGCTGCCATTGGTGGTGCAGTCGAGTTCTTTTGGACTTTCGAAGGTGATCCGGGTTTCTTTATCAGGGCAGGTGGCGGTCTCTTTTTAGGAGCGGACGTGGGCTTTGCCGGAACACTCGGTGTGGTCTTCACCAAAAATACCGCAGATCTGATTCAAAGGACCATTTGGATTGACATCCGGGCCCCGGCTCCCGTTATCCACGGAGGTGTATCGCTTGCGGCATTCGGCCTGCGCCCTGTGTGGGGACTGAGTTTTGTCATTGGTATCGGTGCAGGTGTCCACGTTGGAAGTTTGCTGTATGGCCAGACCTGGGGCTTCGCAGGCAATGGCACCGTATTTTCTTAGACTCTGGAAAAGGGAGCCCCAGAACGCGAAAATGTCACGTCGAGTGAGAGAGTCTGGCCTTGATTCCCCGGAGGATGGAGAAGCCAAGCCACCTGTCTACATCTAATTTAATATTGTAGCCATAGTGAAAGGATCAATCAATGCATTTGGACAGGCTCATTAACAGTCGCTAGTGCTAACGCACGCTCGCTAGCGCTGATGCTGCCAAGTTCAGTAGGTCCCGTTCGCAGCCAGCACCTGTGGCTTCCGACTTGCCTTATGCACAGTACCACATTAATTCCAAAGTCTGTGTTGTTAATGAGCTGTAAGAGAGGCATTAGCACCATAGACTGGCCATAGATTGCAGGCCCTGAAAGTGCAATTCCGCTAGCTAGCCAAATTGTCGATCTACCGAACCTTGAACCACAAGTAGACCACTTTGATCTGCTAGTTCAATTCTGGCAAGGACCACAGTCGCAGCCACACAGGGAAGTTCCATGACAGACTGTTGTGCTGCTTTTCACTAGCAAGTCTTTACATAGATTGCCATAGCATTTCATTTCCTGTTGGGTTAACTTGTTACACAGTTCTTCAGGGATGCTGCCTGACAGGGACGTATTTTTGAGTACCAAGCTGGTCAACTTCTCCAGCATAAGTATTTCTGTAGGGAGGGTGCCCGAAAGGTTGGTATTCTGAAATTCTAGTTTCCTGAGACCAGACAGTTCGCCCACTTCTGTAGGAACAGTGCCCGAGATCAAGTTGTCGTTGATGAGTAATGCCTGCAGGTTTGTAAGTATGGAAAAGTGATCAGGTGGTAGTGTGCCCTGCAACTGGTTGAAGCCAAGATTCAATTCAAGCAGATCTAAAGAAAAAGCAGAAATGCTTAAGACAAAGAAAGCATGAATGGATAAAGAATGGAAAACCAGCGGGGCAGTTTCAATACTCACTGGTCAACTCAAATATGGCCAGTGGCATAGTTCCAGAGATTGAGTTGCCATGCAAATCCAGAGAACGCTGAAGGCAGGCGGTGTTGGAAGGCCACAAAGAAGAAAACATCAAACGTTCTATTGCAAAACAACAGTACCAGTACTCACTAACTCAGACAAGAACCCTAGCTCTTTGGGTAAAGTTCCATCTACTTTCCAGTCATTCAAAATTAGGAACCCAAGGTCTCTCAGAGTGCCAATTTTGGCTATGAAAGAGAATGAACCAACCAAGTGTCAGAAGTCGAAATGTATTTGCACTTACTATGCCCTAGTGCCACACCAGCATTCTTACATGGAAATGACATTACTGTCCCAGCCCTTCGGCTGGATAGCATCAGGAAATGAAGTGGTAGTGAGTTGCTGATTGCTTCTTGAAGGAGAGTTTCAGTGTCAAGTCCACCGCACTCCAGTATTGTAAGAGCCATTAGGCCTGGCAATTGGTATACCTCACCAGGCACTGAACCTTGGTTAAAAGAAAGTGTGAGTGTGCATTTTTTGTCTGTTGGATGCAAATGTGGCCAAAAGATGTGGACCCACCAGTTAGATCTAATCTCTGCAAAGTCAGTTCCGATAGATTGCTGACTAGTCCAATCTGGGAAGGCATTCGCCCAGAAAGGTGGGTATCAGAGATTTGGAGAGAATCAAGACTTTGTAGCAGACCAAGCTCTGTTGGAAAGGAGCCGACAATATTTGTCCCACTCAAAAGTAATCGAGTCAATTTTGTCAGCAGTCCGACCTCAGTTGGGATTCTTCCTGTCACTTCCATTTGTCGAAACAACGAGAAAGACTCGAGACTGTTCCCGAGCAAAAATACCTCTAGAGGAATTGTTCCCTCCAGGTTGTTGGTCATCTCAAATGACAATGATGTGACTTCTCCCTTCTCATTGCAGATCCGTTCTGGAGCGCTACTTAGAAAAACGTAGAGTTGTTCCCAGTCACATTCATTGGTCTCCCAGTCGAGCCATCCACGATGGTTCACCCAATGGTCTCCTCTTGTAGAATAGTAGAATGTGGCCAGAGCAAACCTTTGTGTCAGTCTCCAAAGTGGAAGATCCTGAAGTATGGAAGTTTTATTGTTGACGTTTTGGATCAGCCATTGATATGCCTTGGACTGAGGAGACTGTGCTCGTTCCATAGTTGATAGGGTATAGTCTGGTAGATTGAGTGATTCCAAAAAGGTGGTTGGTGCCATTGTTGGCATTGTTGCCAATCGTGGAGTGCTTGGAGACATTTCAATCACAGCTGGCTGACTGGAGTTGCTGCTGGTGTGTCCTCCATTAGACACTGCCAAAATTATCAGGAGTGTTACCATGACTGCCAAGAGGACAACATTGACTTCCATCGAAAGGACCCGAAGTAACCTTTGCCTCCAGTACGTCTTTGATCTCTGATTGGGTAGTATTCTTGGCTCTGTACCAGTACTGTCACTCTCCAGCAGGTGAGTTTCTTGATTATCGTTTTCCACAAAGGCTTCCTCAATGACATTTTCCTGTAGATTGCTTGCTGCATTGTCTCCATCATGATGGATGCCAAAAGAATTTGTATTTCCCGAAAAGCCCCCATAAACATGCTGGGCCCCAGGGACGCTTGTCGGTGCCGGTACTGTCGTTGTTGGGAGCGGTGGTGGGAGAGATATAACATCGTCAAATATCAGAGGCAGCAGATTCAAGGGGTACGGGTGTGTGGTGTGTTTTCTTGTTCCGGTTTGGGAATCAGGATGTCTGGTGGGGTCCTGGAGTTGTCTGCTACATGTATTTCCACCAACTCAACACCAGTGGTATCCGTTCCATCAATCTCTTGGTTGTTCATTTCCTCACTAGAGCACCCAACTTGGTTCTGTTGGCAGTGTCAGAGGCATAATCAATACTGTAATACAACGTCTTTCTGTTTTCGTTCTTCTCCAACCTCTCTAGCTCTAGCTGCCAGCTACATGTAATAGCTGCCGATATAGTTTATGACTCAACAATTTGTCACTACTCGACCTCGCCTCGTCGGTGTCACTGTAGATGACATTGTGTGGTCAGTTTGAGCTGGCTGGGTGGCAACGTTTTCAATGTCCCTCCCGCCGTTGACACACAACCTTGCTGGCTAGACTAATCACCAATGAGAAGAAGTCCATGCCAATGACGTGACGTAACATGGAAAGGCCCAAAAGATTTGCAAAAGATCGTTCATGCAATAATATTGCTATTTTAACGAATGCGGAAGCGAGGATCCTTTGATAGACGGATTGTCACCGTTGTGGTCGTTGCTGTTGCCTAGCTAGCAAGCTTCCTGCCCATTGTTTCGGCTAGCCAGCCCTTTGCCATTCAAAGCGTACGGTCCGGTACGACCTTGATTTGCGCCAAGCAAGAGAACGATCTGATCTGGCGAAGCAACTCCAAGTCTTTGCGCTGTGTTGATTGAGCAACACCACTTTCGGTTGTCTGACTTACTAGTACGGTCCTGGAATAGTCTCAAGTTTGTACTGTAACATACATACATACATCCACCATGCCTCTCCACGGCGCCGAGATTGAATCTGAAAAGCAGGCGTTGCCGCCCACGAGCCACAAGTCTTATAAGGTTCTGATAATCTCGAATCTCTTTTTTGTGTTGGCGTCGACCTTTTACCTTGCCGCTGCCGCCTATGATGTCCAAGAGAACAAGACTGCCACTGCTACTTCTACAGTAACAAACCTGACTCCCTCTGTGGTTCTCCAAATACTGGGAGGTCTGGCATTCGTCGTTGTGGGTCTACTGGATCTGTACAATACCCAAAAGAAGGTCCACTTTTTCTTGACACTGGCAGGACTGTTTGCCGCGCTACGAGGGTTCTACCTAAAGAGCAATTACCAGCTCTCGTCCGTCTTCAACATGCTCTCGGCCCACTTGTTTCTCCTCGAATCGCTCGACTGGATCTACTCCCATTTTGTCAAACTAAAGTTGGATGACAATGACAGTCGCAAATCGTCACTGTTGGTGGCCGAAGCCGGTGACGCGTTCTTCTTTTTGGGGGCCCTTATGGATTGTATCTTTTCCTGGATTGACATTTTCAAAGCGCCACCTCCACCGGGATCCGCACAAGGACTGGCATCGGCATCGGGCGATGTCGTGTCGGGTATTCTGTGGCTGCTCGCAGCGCTCATTTCCACAGTATTGGCGTGTCGATTGGGAAAACAAGGTTTTGCGGGAGCTAGTGGCGAAGGCGCTTCCATGACGGCGGCTTCGGGGAGTATGGCGTAGCTGCTAGCCAGTCAAAAGTACGATATAGTATGTTTACAACGGAAGGAGGAAGACAACCATCTTCACCAAAACTACAATCTATCTGACGTGATTCCAGTATGGTAGGCTCGATCGACTCATTCATTCATGGAGGAGGAACAAACCTGGTTCATACGGCACGGCACTCCCAAATAATGAAATCAACAACAAACATTAGACGCATCAGCCATCCTATTTTAGACTTGGGTTTGGATTTGCTACAGTACGACGGGAACTATTTACGTACAAAATTTATTTGTTGAACACAACATAGTGTGGTTCTCCAATGGAAGTGGCTTGCGTCATGGCTTGTCGTACCGTAGCACATCAGCCACTGTTTCCGTTCCGAGGCAGGTTGGTTCTTTTCCTGTGTGTCGTCGTCATCCATTCCGTCTTGTCATTCGTCGCCCTAGCTAGCTACCGTAGTAGTTTAGTGTGCGTTGCTCCCTACCGTACGGATACAATGCTAGCTAGCTACCGTAGATACTTCTTCGTACTGTACCCCAGACTCCATCCCGTACACCACATTCTTCCTTTCTCTCTCAAACACTCTCAATGGTACGTATGGCCCATTGGTTCACGGTCACTTTTCATACGTTGTTCGGCAACTAGCTAATTCGTCCATTTTGGACTTTACTCATTGCAGGCAAAGCGTCTCCTCCAATTCGTGTGTTTGTGTCAAAGCAGCCATGTGTCAAAAGGAAGGCTTTTGGTCAAGCTAAATAATGCCAGTAACAGACAACGGGGAACAAAACCACGACCTGCTGATTTGTTTGAGTGTGCGGAGTGCCTCTCTGAAGTTGTGTCGTCGCCCACGACGGTCACTTCAGAACATGCCACAATGCACCAAAATGGGAGGCAGGTCAGGATTCTTGTGGCACTTGCTGCTTGCTTGTCATCACTTAGTTAGTTGCTTGTGGAACGGTTCATGCCACCACGTGCGGTAGCTACAATAGCATTAGGCTACCAAACCGAGAGGAGTGGCAGAGCCGGCCATCGTCGAGAGGAAGAGATGGGGTGGAGGGTGCATCCAGGAAGTACAGTGCACAACAGGAGAGCCAGAAGCCAGTGTTGCACACACCAATAATGCAACGGCGGCAGTGGTTTACGCCTCCAGAAACATTCCACGCCCTGAACACCAAAAGCCATAGCACCGTGTTGTCCGATCGTCTAACCCTAGCTCTTTAGAAGTAAGCTCCGGCAGCTCCACACACGACGCGGATCGAGAACTAATACCACTGCTGGCATGCATCCGATGTGCTGATAGAGACAACCACATCCTAAAGCAGTAATATAGTGTAATCTACTAGTAGTACTT